CAAGTGAGTCTTCGAAATTATTTACATCTATTTTTTCCAATTCTTCTCGATTAAATGGTTCTACCTCAAATGTTTGTGAAATATTAAGGGTTATCGGCTTATAAGTGTTATTTGAAATGCTAGTAAAAGCATAAAGTGATGTGGTCGATTCGTAATTTTATTAAAATGTATGTGCAAATATATTACTTAAATTTTATTAAATATATATGTCGTAGGCATAATGCAAATTTGGGCTTTTTATAATTTGCCTAGGCATTTTACAAAAAGCCAGCAAAACGCAAGCATAAAATGCATTTTTCGTTATGCCGGCACCGATTCAGGCAAACTGATAAAATGCCGGCGAAACAAGAACATAAGAATATATATCATGTTGTGACTGATTATTTTTAGGCATTTTACAATTTGCCAAAAACGGTGCCGTTAAAACGTGAAAATAAAGTCGAAAATACTATTAAATATTGTTGGAAACATGTTCCAACAATCATGCTATCTCTTTTTGATGGCAAAATATTTTTATACATATAAAGTTGGCAACACTGCAGCTTTGTCGTCATGTCTATTTTGTCATTGTCATGGCTGTCAATATATTGCGCGCCATTTTTTGTGATTGCAGCAGTGTAGCTTGGAGCTTGTCCACGTTAACAAGCATCCAGAAACCTTTTCACATTTTAATAAATTTTAGAATCTAGCTCTGCCCTGTTGGGCATCTAAGCAAGCTCTGGCTTCTTGCCATCTTGTAGTAGTAATTGTAAATAGTGTAAATATTGTATAAATTGCAAATTGTTGTAAATATAGTGTCAATGAAAAGCGCGTGTGTTTGAGTTCACTATCCAGTCGAGCATCCAGTCCACCTAATTATACAGTCCACTAATTATCAAGTTATTTATCTTCCCTTATGTGGTTTTGCACAAATATAAATAATACAGTTACAGTAAATCTTTTTATTTAGAAAACATAAAGAAACAGTTAACACTATCTACCTAACAGAAATAAAACTAGAGTTTGTTTAATACTGATTATAAGTGTACTGGTTGACAACAATTCATATCAACATTCAAAGACATTCGTGGCTACAGATGAAAATGCACTTTGGCACCTTCGATTTGGCGCGGTTATTTAAAAGAAAAACTTACTCGGTGACCGGTGAGTGCACTCAGTACATTCTCTAATTTTTTTTCGTATGTCACGGGCAATGGGCAATGTAGATAATATGGCATTATCAATAATGCCCAGGCAATTTAAAAAAAAAAAACCCAAAGGGATGTGACAAAATTATGAATTAGAAAATATCATTACATTGTCCGGGCATTATGATTAATGCTGGAGTGAATTGGATAACTTGTCTGATTAAAATTGCAAACTAACTGGGTTATTATCAGTAAGTTTGATAATGTCTGATTAGAATTGCCAATTATCCCAAACCAAGTGGGTTATTATCGGTAAGTTTGACAATGATAACGGACTGAAACAAAAATGCGTGTGTGTTTCTCGCACACTGGTAGGAAAATCTATCACAAATTCTACTACACGGTAGTTCAATAACAGCTGTTCGGAGTGCTCTTACCCAACTGTTCGGAGTACGCGAACTGTTCAGAGTACTCCAAATGTTTGGCATGAACCAACTGACCGGAGTACTCCTACTTTTTGGAGTACTGCTGAGATCGGAGTAATCTAACTGTTCGGAGTACTCCTACTGATCGGAGTACTCTAACTGTTCGAAGTACTCCTACTGATCGAAGTACGCCAACTGTTCAAAGTACCTCCAACTGTTGGGAGTACTCCGATTACACCAACTATTCGGAATACTCCGGTTGCTCCAACTGTTTGAGTACTCTAACTGCTTGGAGTACTCCGAATACTCTAACTGTTCGGACTACTCTAAAAGTTCGGAGTACATTGGCAAACTTACCGATAATAACCAGGTTAGTTTGGGTTAGTTTGCAATTTTATTTAGACATTATCAAACTTACCGATAATAACCCGGTCATCATTTATATGTATATAAAAATTAATGCCACTTTTCGTTGTAATTTTATAACTCAAGAACGGGCTCACCTAGCCAAACCAAATATTTAGGCTTTGTTCGGACTATTTATTAGATGGTTTATGTGAAGTTTGCACAAAATCGGTCGAGCGGTTCTTCATTTATCACATTTTTTGTAATAAATGAATGGGGTAGTATACTATGTATAAAAATCAGTAAAAAAACTGCTCGACATTATTCTATAGGCTAAATGGTGATGGTATAGTGGGGTACTAAATTATTTTCTAGCATAGTGTCTATAGAATTAGTCAGAGAAAAACAAACTGTGATTTGAATTTGGCGCCACAGCGGCGACCAATAGTATTCAAGCCGCTGACCATCTGGCAACGCTGCTCAAAATGACAGCTGACTTCAACAGTTCAACGACGTGTGGTGTCGTGTGAAATGTGACATTGTCACAGACTTGTTTTCGTTGTTTGATTAGTAAATTTGATGTTTCGTTCTTGACGGTCAATGTCAGTGCAAATTGTGTGTTCTCAAAACCGTGATCTGTTGCCAAATTGGAAAAACTAATTACGTCACGAACTTTTATTTTCACGTAGGGGCGGGGCTAAGAGGAAATTAAAAAAATAAAATTTCAGGCTATTGCGGTTTTTACAAAGCAACTGATTACACTAAATAGTACGATACATCGAGTATATCACTGCGTAGTAGTTAAAAATCACTTGTATACTACCCCATTATTCAATAAATGGAGGATCATTTTGTTAATGGGGATTTTGCTGCCAAATTGAAACTTTTTTCAGCGTTGACAGTACCATCATGTTGTTATGTCATTAATGTGGTCATTTCATTACTTATTTTATTCATTTATGAAAAAAATTTACTAAGCCCGCATACGGCGCCATCTCTTATAACCGATACCAAGTTTATTTTGTATTTTGTATACCGCGCCATCTCTGATACCTGGAACGAAGCTCGGCATTGCAGATACAGTAGAACAATGCTGCTCAGGAAGTGGAGCTATTTCGAACAGAACTATTCCATTATTCCGATCAGATAGAGTGGTGCAGAAAGAGTAGATCAGATAGAGTAGTGCAGATAGAGTAAAACAGATGGAGTAGTGCAGTGCAGAAAGAGTGAAACAGGGCTGCGCTAGAGATTTTTTTTGTTTTCTTTACATGCTTTGAACATTCCTGTGCCTAAGTTTATTTATTTGGTGGTACACTTTACAAGAATAATGCCCACAAGCTGCCTAAAAAAGGATGATGTAAAATTTTAATTTTAGGTGACTTCTGATCCAGAGAGTAAACATTAATTTTCTTCAACCAAAGCCAAATTCACCATCGAAAAAAACTGAATTTAATTCAGCTAATACATATGTTAACACAACATTTAATAGGTATATTTAATAATTCAGAGGCGGTACGAAGTTCGCCGGGTCAGCTGGTAATATTATAATAATTGATATCTTCTATATAATTCATAAATTTGTCATATCTCTTTGGGCACTTTCTAAATTGCCCGAGCATTAAATTTTAAATTTATTGCTCAATTATTTACATTGCTCGTAACAAAATACAATACCAAAAAAAAACACTACTACGAACTGATTTTTCATTCGAAACTTGAAACGAGTCCGATCAGTGAACAAACATTCAAGTCATTAGATAACTGTCGTAAAAGCATAACCTGGAAATCAAAGGAGCCAGAGCTAGTACATGGTTATGAGTGTACTGGTTAAAAGCGAAGCGTGTTTTTGTTTTTCAAAACATACAAGGACTAGTATGCATTACGTGGACGGGTTAGTTTCCATACTTTTGGTTAGTTTCGTTACAGCTCGTTTATTACTGGTTATAAGTGTACTGGTTAATAACAAAGCGCGCAAAGCGGAAACGGAATGCGAGCGACAAGAACGGATTTCAGATTTGTGATTAGCGACTAAAATTATACCTTCCTACAAAAAATTAACAATTCCGGATTGGCTAACGGATAATAGATAAGTACCCTAATACCTAATGTACTATTCAATCGAAAAAAGTCGAATTGTTTTAGTTGTTTTATATCTATTCTTGTTTTGACGGTACCGTTTTTGGCAAATTGTAAAATGTCTGAAAATTGTCAGTCACAACATGATATATATTCTTCTGTTTTTGTTTTGCCGGCATTTTATCAGTTTACCTGAATTGTTGTCGGCATAACGAAAAATGTATTTTATGCTTGCGTTTTACTGGCTTTTTGTAAAATGCCTAGGCATTTTAGGAAAAGCCTAAATGTGTATTATGCCTACGACATATATACTAATATAACATAGATCATATTTTCCTTTTGATAGAAATAAGGTACTTAACACCTACAATATTTTTCAATGTGATCACTTAAAATCCAACCAGTTACAGAAATATTGTTTTTTCGCAATACTTCCAGAATAATATGTTCTTTTCCTCTTTACATTACCTTTCTAACAAGCTAAAAGAAAATAAAAATCGGTTAAATAGCAGCGACGATAGGGCACATTATTTATATTGCTATCGCGACCATCTTGTTTGACGGACACCAAACAAACGCAACATCTGTGATGGTGTCACGATACAAATTATTGAACTTCCGTACTAAAATATGTAGATGATTATTTGTATTATTTCGACCAGTCTTTTCATATATTTTCTTTCTTCTCTTTGTTGCTCAAAAAAAAAAATCCACGTCCATTTCTGTGAAGCTAGAGGGAAATCCAGAAAAATAATTATAAATTAAATTCATTATTTCAATTCAATTTACGAATCACTTACCTATTTGACATAAAAAAAAAACAATTGTCCAATTTAGATATCAAAATTGTATGAATTGCTTTTACGAAAATTGGAATAGGTAGGTAGGTATTACAAAACAAAGTGCTTTAATTTAACAAAGTACCAAATAATAGATTTAACATTATGATTTTTCCACGGAAGTGTTATACAATTAATGATTATGAAAGTCAACGATTTTACATAAAAACAGTTGTTTTTTTTTTCAGTATCGAAAGAACCTTCTGAAATGAACCAGTTTTTCCTCGTTTTACTTTCGACTACAATAGTCATGTCAACAATAACGATACCTAGTAAAAATGGTATTTTCAGCACAAAAGACTTAGAGAAATATGTGTATTATAAAATCAAATACTTTTCACACCGTTATTGCAATATTTTTGCTAATCCATTGGCGCAGGATTGTTCAAATATGATAACAAAAATGGTCAACATGATGAATTGTGTTTATTCTACATCTGATCAAATTGATAATAACAGCTATTTACAAGAAACAGTATCTACGACAACATTTCTAGTAATTGAAAATTATCAAAATTTTGCAAAAATATTTAATACATTTGCTAAATCTGATTATTTTAGCAACAGAGGACATTTTGAAATTTTCATTTGCGATTCAATAATACATATGGAAAATATTTTACGTATATCAAAAATTATTTTTGAAGCAAAACTATTGGACTATTCACTAATTTATCAAAATATATCCCTAAAGGAATCATATTTCAATCCTTTTTCAAATGGACTTGATATAAAGGACGTAAATAAAGTAAGCACTCACCAAGAGGTTTCTATATATCCAGATGTGCTTAAAGATATGCGAAAACATCCGTGGAGAGTTATAACCCTTCCAAATTTGCATAAAATGCTTGTTCCCACTTTGGACTTTACTTTTATGAGCTTTCTGCCAGAGTATTTCAATTTAACACTTCAAACGAATTATATGAATGATAGTCAAAATGAATTTAGTTTTGAAGATATCATTGATAAAATGGAAAGGGAAGACGTTGAAATGTATACACTTACTCAGCCGCTTAGTTACGACAATTTTCCAAGAGAAAAAATGTTAGTCCATACTTCATATCCTTTTATAACAAATAATTTTATAGCTTTTGTACCAAAGCCAAAGATGATAAAGCGATGGGAAGTATTCGTCAAATTCCTTTTCACCGTTTTTTTGCCTTCTTTTTTGGGTAGCTGCTCCATTATGGCTTTACTGAACAAGTACTTATCTAGGAATCGCAAAAACAATAGATTGGAATTACTTGGTTTTTTGTCTCTTCAATTAAATATTTCGTATTTTAATTTCGAAAAGAAAACTACTATAATAAAATCAATATGGTTGCTGTGGTGTGTCCTTTCTGGTGCAGTTTTTAACTCAATATTATTCCGAATATTATTGATGCCTCAATATTCCTCTGTAGTTACGAGTTTATCAGATGTTAACTCGACAAATGTGAAAGTTTACGCAATTGACAAAGAGTTTCCTTTCAAAAATATAGTTGTTTTAACGCCAATAACTTGGGGGTTGAAAGTATTGGAAAATGGAGGAGATGCAGTAATTATTGGTCCTGAAATAGTGTTGGAAACATTCGCCAAGTCTTTTGAAATGAGAAACTCATATTTCAGCTATGTGGCACTGCCAGAAGTAGTGAGACCAGCGCTAGGAGGATACATTTTAAAAAGACGTTCCCCGTATCATGAAAAACTTCGACATTTACAGTTTATTGTGCAGGAGAATGGTTTCACGAAAGCGCTAGCAATAAGAGTTCCGGAACGTCAAGATCAAAGGTATTCAGATGAATTCGTGAATTTTGAAGATTTTGAGGGTGTGTTTATAACGTTAATAGCTGGATTGGCAATAAGCAGTTCAGTATTTGCCGCTGAGATATTATTCAATTTCTATAACAAACAAAATATGGCACCTGAAAGGATTGATATACAACTTTCAAATAATCTGCACGAATAATTGTCTGTTAAATTTATGAGTGAAAATTTTGACTGAATATCAAAACTTCCCAAACAACACAAAATTGTTTAATATACCTATAATTTTTGTTTATACCACAAGTATATTTATGGTTTACTATTGCCTGTTATAATAAGTTAAAATGTCCGCCTGATATAGGTCGATATGACGTACCGTAATTATGTACCAAATATAAACGTATACAAAATATGTTTATGAGGTTATGGTATAAAACGTATATATTTATCATAGAATTTACGTTAATTTAATTGTTATGATGTACTTATAATAAATGTATAGAAATTATGTTTAATAATTTACTATTTAAAACGTGTATATTTGATTTAAAACTTACGTTAATTCAATTGATATAATACACCAATGATAATTATATATGTGATACGTTTAATAATCATATTATTATACGTTATAATTTGATATAATTTAAACATTGAAATATAAACTATATCATACGTTGAAGCAACGAATTTGATAAAGTTTATATTGTTCTTTATCAGTAACGTTTAATTAACTAAAATAAATGGAAGAGTTCATTTATGGAACAAATAATATATTTCGAAAAGTTATTGCATAGTTATTACAAAAAATTTAAAAAAATAAATCTTGGCATGCTTGTCCAATATTTTTATCTGTTATGTCTCCTGCCGTGATGCCCACTTGGTCCTCTCCTTGGAAGTAAATTTTTGTAGCTTCTGAAAATAATTACATATTATAAGTGAGTTATTTTCCATGAGGGTCACTCATGGCAGTGTAACTGTACGGTATTGTCGCGGCTTTGGGTTGCCTGCTGACAAAAATCTTGGGTTCGTTGTTCGTTTCGTTTATTCCAAAAATCAAAGTCCAATTAACACAGCAATAATTTATTCCACTTAACAAAACACTCTGACACTAATTACTTTATTAACAAACTCAACAATTAAACTCTTTACAATCACTATTTAAATCGTATCACACTCGAACTGAAACTAACTTACAAACCAATGCCGGCCTTCTTATATATCCCTAAATCTATTCCTGTGAAATCTAGAATACACACGATAATCTAATTTTCCAGATTAAAGTAGAATAATTCGCTAGATTCTAGTATTTCCGCGATCGATTCTTGACAGCCTGGCGGACGTTTAGCTTATTGTGACACTGCCCTCCTCTTAAGGTTGATCGTCCCGATCAACTTCACGCCCATGATATTTCGCCAACCTGTCCAGATGTACAACTTTCATTTTACTCCTGGTGTTGCGCTGGACTCGATAAACCAAATCATTGATCCTCTTGATTACTCTATAGGGTCCTTCCCATGCTGAAGACAATTTCGGTGATACTCCTTTCTTCTTTACTGGGTTATACAACCACACTAAATCACCTTCTTGAAATCCGACCGAATTGGCCTTCAAGTCGTATCTGGTCTTCATTCGGTCACTGGCTAGTTGAATATGCTCCCGAGCAAAATCATGGATACCCAGAAGTCGTGCCCTTACTTCGTCGGCATAATCTCGGATTTCTCTTCGTTCTTCTTCGGGTACTCCAAACATCAGATCGCAAGGTAGCCTGAGTTCCCTTCCAAAAACAATTCTAGCCGGACTTTCACCTGTTGAATCGTGAACAGCCGCTCTGTAAGCCATTAAAAAGAGAGGCAAATGCTTGTCCCAATCTCGTTGGTTCTTTGCGACCACTTTTGTCAGGTGTTCCTCTATGGTCTTATTGAATCGTTCTACCATGCCATCAGACTGAGGGTGTAAAGGTGTTGTCCTTGTCTTACGAATGCCCATGATCTCACAAACTTTCTTAAAGATGGCAGATTCGAAGTTTCGTCCTTGGTCTGAATGTAACTCTAGTGGCACACCATGACGACTAAAAACTTCGTCCACTAGCACCTGGGCAACAGTGATGGCTTCTTGATTGGGAATAGCGAAAACTTCTGGCCATTTACTGAAGTAATCCATGATAACTAAGATGTATTTGTTACCACGCTCTGACTCTGGGAACGGTCCTGCTACATCTATCGCTATTCTCTCAAATGGAAGACCTACGTTATACTGTTTCATGGGCCCCCGAGATCTTAGTTTAGGGCCTTTACTGGTAGCACAGATGTCGCATTTTCGGCACCAGCTTTTAACGTCTTCATGGTAGTGAACCCAGTAAAAACGTTCCCGAATTTTGTCCAAAGTCTTGTTAACTCCGAAATGTGCCCCTGAGGTTCCGTCGTGTATTTCTTTCAATACATCTTCCACTCGGTCTTTTGGGATAACCAGTTGGCTCTTAGTGGATTTCCCATCGGCACTTTCCCAAACTCTTTTGAGCAAACCATTTTCTACAGCCAGAGAGTTCCAATGGGCCCACAACGCTTTGTAAATCAAGCTCTTGTTTGACACTTCCCTCCATTCTGGCCTACATTCATCGTTTTCTTTAAGATGTAGAATTTGCCCGATGTCCTGGTCTGCCTCCTGATCTTCTCTCATTTGCTTGGTAGTCCATTTATCATCGACGATCAGGCCCGTTCTTCTTACAGCTGGACTAGTGTTTTTCTCATGTATATCGATTCTTTGACAATGTTTGCAATCTTCTTTACACGGCCGTCTAGACAGAGCGTCAGCATTTTTATGTAGGTTTCCAGGTCGATGTTTAATTTGGAAATCGTATTGCTGCAATTTCTCAATCCATCTAGCAAGCTGTCCTTCAGGAGTTTTCATTTCTAAAAGCCATTTTAGAGCTGCGTGATCTGTTCTAATTAGAAACTTGCGTCCGTAGAGATACTTATGAAAATGGTCGACTGCTTTTACTATGGCAAGCAACTCTCTTCTGGTGATACAATAATTTCGTTCCGGCTTTGATAATGTTCTGCTGTAGTACTCCACGACATGTTCTTGTGAGTTTTGGATTTGTGAAAGGACAGCTCCAACACTGGTGTTACTTGCATCTGTGTCCAAAATCAACATGCCTTTGTAATCAGGATAGGACAACACTGGGCTCGTACATAATGCTCCTTTCAATTTTCTAAATGCGGAATCGCATTCTTGGGTCCAATTGAATGTTGATTTTTCTTCTGTCAATCGATGAAGTGGAGCAGCTATTTTGGCGAATCCTTCCACAAATCTTCGATAATAAGAACATAATCCTAGAAAACTCCTTAGTTCATGTGTGTCGCGTGGTTTTGGCCAGTCCCTGACAGCATCTATTTTTCCTTCCATAACTTGTATGCCCTCTTCAGATACCACGTGACCCAAGAATTCCACTTTCTTTTGAAATAGGAAACACTTATTTGGATTGAGTTTCAAGTTGGCATTCCGGAAGCGGTCAAAAACTTCTTTTAGGTTATTGAGATGTTCTTGGAACGAATTTCCCATAATCATGACATCATCCAAATATACCAGGCAAGTTCTCCATGTAAGGCCTCGCAAAACAAGATGCATCAGTCGCTCAAACGTAGCTGGAGCATTACACAATCCGAAAGGCATTACATTAAACTGGTATAGTCCGCTACCGGTACTGAAGGCAGTTTTCTCTTTGTCATCGTCATGTATTGCCACTTGCCAGTATCCACTTTTGAGATCCAAGGTGGAAAACCATTTGGAGCCCGATAGAGTTGTTAGTGTATCGTCTATTCTTGGGAGAGGGAAGCTGTCCTTCTTGGTGACGTCATTAAGCTTTCGGTAGTCCACACAAAATCTAAGACTCCCATCTTTCTTCGTAACCAATACTACTGGCGCGGACCATGGACTATTTGACTCTTCAATGATTCCCTCTTGAAGCATTTTATCAATTTGGTTTTCCACTTCCTGTTGCTTCGCTACTGGCATACGTCGTGGTGGTTGTCTAATTGGGTGTGCCAATCCAGTATCAATTTTGTGTTGAATTAAGCTGGTTCGGCCGGTTTGATTGTCCATCACAAAGACGTCTGCTTCTTTCAAAATGAAATCTGTGGCTTCTTGAAGTCTATCTGGATCGAGATGTTTCCATGATTTCGCCAAGGTCTGCATCAAGGTGTCTGTATCTAATTTGGATTTCACAAAATGTCGCTTATCTGGTAGGTCACAGTTCGATATTTGCTTCACTGGTTCGAGAGCTCCAATAATGTCTCCTTCTTTTATTCTTACTGTTTCGGAAGAAACATTGGCAATTCTTATCATAATGTCTCCATTTGTTCTTACTAGGGTCTTTCCAACAAGAAATCTTTCTGGTTTATCTCCAATGAAATTACGTGTTAGCCCAACGCAACACCCAGGGTTTGTTTCTAATTTTCCGCAAATGATCTTCTCAGTACTTCCAGGAATCCTCACTGGGGTTGTGGCCAGGATCTTAACGGCATCGGATTCTTCTTGTGTTGTTAGGACAATTTCTTCATTACCAAATTTAAGGATATTCATGGAAGGATCAAAAGAGAAACCATGTTGGCCGATCAAATCCATTCCCAAAATAAAATCATCTTCTATATCGGCGACTAATGTTTTGTGCCTGAAGGTGGTAGATCCAAAAGTGAGCTCAACCATAGCTTCTCCTTGAACTGCTGCAGATTCGCCGGTGACTGTTCGTAGTGACAGGTTTCTAGTGAGCGGTTGGATTGCCCGAGACTTGACTAATGTTCTTTTAATTATGGAAACTTCAGCACCCGTATCAAAAGTAATGGTTTTCAATTCTCCATTAATTTGTCCTTCGAATTTTAATCCTCTATAATGACTGCCCAATGATTTTATGTAAACAACCCTGGGGGCTTCGTCATTACTAACCAGCATTCGCCCCTCCATACTGGTTAGTTCTCGTTTCCCTGTCTGTTATTAGGGCTGGCGTCTCTCGATCTCGAAAAGCG